ATGTGTGCACAGTGCTCTGTTTTGCCATGCTTAAAGCATCTGCAAGAGATTGTTTTTTGGGGTTGGGTGGGGTGCCTATTCAGTAAAGCTGCAGACTAGGCAGCTATCTTTCGACAGATTAGCCAGAGGAATTTCTATTGCGAGATTTTGATTGTTCAAGGGCCCTTTGGTTCCTTTTGTGTGTGAAATGGTGAAAAGTTGTGTTAGGACAAAGGCTGACAAAGTGTTTAATGAAAGCTGCGTTTGGCATTAGCAGACATTCCTAGACTTTCCCCCCTCCTCTTTTGCTGTCTCTCTCCTGTTAGCAAAAGGTGCCAAAAAGTTTTGGATAAAGTGTGCTGAATTAGCAATGACGGGTACATGTCTGTGAGCTAATCTGATGAAACCTTCAACTTGTTGAGTCAAAAAATAAATCCAATAGAACTATGACTTTATGGATCCATGCATTTTGTACAAGATATACAAGATTTGAGATTTGTGTGTGTCTGCATGCTGTATTGACTTCCTGGTTGTCTTCAAATGAAAAATAAAAGATAAATTCATCTCATACTGTAATTACTCATAGGAATACAGGGCATATAGAATTAGCTCTTTTGTTATTGGCATAATTTTAGGTAGAAATTCTGCAGAAAGATATGACAGTCTTATTCTTCCAAGAATCCTTTTCAGTCATGCCACTATTTGATTCCCATTTTACAGACTAGAACCTGGGTCTGGGAGGCTTAATTTGATGTTTTTTACTGCTTTGCTTTAGGATTGTTATTCCCCCTATGTTATTCTAACTGAGATCAGGACATCTAATTTTAGTAATATATAAGTAGGCAAATGAATAAAGAAGCCCCTACACCTTTTTTATGGGAACAAACAAACATTTCTGTTTCTTTTAGAACCTTGGAGCTTAATGAAGTCATTCAGATCTGTGAGACATATGAATGAAATTGCAACTCTCGGAACATCTGCTATTACTTACACAAGTGTGTCTCACTCTTTGCTCATGTTGTGCATTCTTTTGGGGAGAATTATTGACTCCAGGGCTGATATGCTCCCTTACCTGCCCATTTCCCTCTTTGTCTCACTGACGAGCTCAGACTTGACTTTGTGGTGTGTGCATATGCATTTGAGGAAGGCATTCTTTGTCATCGTAATCTGGATAAATTGCGTTTTTTGTTCACTCTCATTTCTTGGGATGTATTGATTTAGGTTTCAAAGCACCTTGGAGAGCATTAAAAATTGGGTATCTTTTGTTTAAATATAGAAATTTCTCTGAATTCTGCTAGCCATGGTGTCTGTGTTTTACCTCCACTGTCAGAGGCACTATGGCTTTGTAAACCAGTTGAGTGCTGTTGCGCTCAAGTCCTTCTGGTGGTCTTCCCATATGCCTCTGGTTGGCCACTGTGAGAACAGAATGCTGGGATAGAGGGGCCTTTGGCCTGATCCAGCGGGCCATAATAGTGCTGCCTGCTTCCGGCCTGGAGAGGAAACCTAGTCCTTTACAAGAAGTATGGATGGGATGGAGGGGAAATGACATGCGTAAATCCCCTGCTTTGAGCCAGCTTCTGGCATTAATGCTGGTGTAATGGATTTCCATTGCGATGTGATTTAAAACAACAACAGCAGCACCCACTGTTTGGCACCTGGGATGTTATATATTTTTTAAATAACACAAGATATGCACGTTTGTTTCCTGCACTTGATAAGGCCAGAAATGCAGGGTGAAGTTGGGAGTTGTAACCAGAAGGCATAATGCAAGATTACGCTGCAGTCTACTTAACATTTCATTCTGGTGGATCAACATTTTGCAAAATAACTTGCGTTTATCAGTTCTGAAGATATCTAATCCTGAAGCTAGTTGCTTATCCCTTAACCTTGCTTTCAATCATCCTTGCTGCTCTCTTTTTTTCCTGCTGCCCTAGTCTACAAGGATTTTTTGTTTCATACTGGGGGGAATAAGACTGGCTCAGAATGTCACACTTAACAGAAAATCTGAAGTTATGCTGTCACTGGCCAGACAAAAAGGATGTAGAAGGTGGAGAAAAGGGACTGACTTGAAAGTACACACACGAGAGGTTGCCAGGGGATAGCCACCACTCTTTTCCTGGTGGAATTAAAAGCCTTTCCTTTGGAAATCTAACCTCTAGCTTTTGTTACGGCTGACCAAGTTAGTTGAGGTAGGGGGGGAATTAACCTTGGGTATGAATTCTAGTAGGTGGCACAGGAAGTTGCAGGAGTAGTTCGTGTGGTGGCTTCCAGATGCTGTTGGACTACAACTCCCATCATCTTTCACTATTTGCCATGCTGGCTGGGAGATAGGAGATGGAGTCCAAGATCATCTGGAAGGGAACCACGTTGGCTATCCTTTGAGTCAAATGCTTGTATTAAACACTTATATTTGAGTAAGCAGTACTGGACACAGGGGGATTCACGTCTAGGTAATTACAGACATAGGATTGCATTGGTTCATAGACAGACCTGCATGCACGGTGGTTTTTTAGAGCTAAATTAGAACCCTTCACCTGTGCCCAAGCCCGTTACAGTTGAAATTCATTATAGTGTTGAAATTAAGAGTGGCTCAATCTTTGTCTCAGTCATGTCATGATTGTGCAGCTTTTAATATAGATAGATGATAGATAGATAGATAGATAGATAGATAGATAGATAGATAGATAGCAAGCAAAATTCTGGTTGGTTCCAGCATACTAATGAGAATCTTTTCCTGTATGCCTGCTGTCTTTAAGGTGACACTCTTGCAGTATCTCCTGCATGCTATGCTCTGACAGTGAAATCATGTAGTTTACACTTTTGTCTTTGGTCTTCATTGTGGTAGAAGTTGGATGGATGTCTGGCCGACTCCCCCCTCCCCGCTGGAGATGATGACTTGAAGTTAAATGGACTTATAACCAGGTCAACAATTCTTAAGGAACGCAGATGGGAAATAGCTGATGTTCTAACAAAAATATGCGGCCATCACAAAAATTGGTCTCCTTGATGGAGCACTGGAAAGTTGCCAATGTAACACCAATTTTTAAAAAAAGGGATTTGCAGAGAGCCTGGAAACTGCGAGCCTGTTTTGTCTGATGTCTGTCCTGGGTAAATGATGGAAAGCATTATTAAAACAAGAATTTTGAAGTACATAGAAGAAACATCACACTGGGAAAGAATCCACATGGCTTTTGCAAAGGGAATCCCTGCCTCTCCAACCTTTTGGAGTTCTTCTCCATAGAAGGGGTGATCTGGTAGACGTATTTGTGGACTTGTTGAAAGCTTTTGACAAAGTCCTTCACCAAAGGCTGAATTTTAAGATCTTCCCTGAAGGTCTTGCTCTGGGTTGACCCCATTGTCATACAGGGCAATAGGTAAACAGTCCACAAATACGTCTATCAAGGGCTATCTGCCATGGTAGCTAAATGGAATTTCATTCAGAGGAAGTCAGCCTTTCAATACCAGTTACCAGTGTGAGAGGCAAAGACCTGCTTGAGCCTCCTAAAAGCTTTAGGATGCCTACTTTTGGTAGTAAGTTGCTGGACTAGAAGGACAATTTTATCTGATCTAGGCAGGACTCTTAGGAACATAGGAAGCTGCCACATATGTCATTATGTTCTTGGCAGCTTCACAGTTGCATGATCATGCTCCCTTCGGTAAAGACTTGAGCACCTTCTTGGAGAGAGCTGTAAAGACTTTTTAAATATTAGGCTTAGCTTTAGGTGGCTGGGTATTGAACCGGTTTCAAATAACGGAGCCTGCTTCTCCACCTGTTATGTAGAAGGACCAATCTGGTGAGCAGAGTGCATTTTCCTCCTGTGTGCACTCACAGGTAAATCCCCATATATAAAACACTGCTAACTAATCTTGCTGTGCAAGCCCTTAATAATTAAAATTGCCACATTTTTGCTGAGTGAAGTGACTGCCAGGTATGCTGATTCGACTGTCTCTTTATTTTTAACAGAAACCTGAGCCACAACAAGTTGACGGAGATTGATCCTTCTGATTTCTCTAACCTGCCAAACCTACGGGAAGTGTAAGTATTTCCTTCAGAAAGGACTTTAATCTTGGCTTCTCCCCCCACCCCCTCCCCGTGCCGCCTTCACTTCGATTCTGGCTGGGATGGCAGCAGCAAAATGTATACTTTCCCGTGACATGCTTTCATTGTATTGCTAGCTTGCATCAGCAGATTAAATCTGAGCCATTGTTTTTCTTTCATACTGTACCTGTATGCTTTTTCTTTTTTAATTAAGCAGTCAATTAGCGGAACACAACATCTCAATTAAACCGCAATACATTTATTGGAAATCATTGATGTTTTGTCTGCCTCCTTTTGTCTCTACCCCACTCTGCCTGTGCATTTCATAAGTTGGAATTAGCCAGAGTAGTTCAGGTAACCACACCTGGCTGTGTGGATACACTTTCATCTGGCAAGGCGGAATGGGCTCAGCTGTGACATCTGATGCTAACCTCCCCCCCCCCCCCGAATCTCTTGGGGAAACAAAGGTGTAGTGTACTGTACTACAGAATTATTAACTCGTTCTCCTCCCACCTTCTGTTTGCTTGTCTGCGAGACAAGGTGGAGATTTTGGGTTTAGTGGCATGGTGGAAAGATTGCCTTGGCACCAGTTTGTGGTAGTGGAAGCCAGGAAAGAAAAGAGAAATGTTAAGCTTGCTTGTAAAAGTTTATTCCCTTACCAGATCGTGGTCCATTTCTCTTACTGTAGCTTATATTCAGGTGGAAGGCTGTGGAAAAGGCATTAGGTTTATGTAAGGAAGGGCTGTACAGTGGTACCTTGGGTTAAGAACTTAATTCGTTCTGGAGGTCCGTTCTTAACCTGAAACTGTACTTAACCTGAGGTACCACTTTAGCTAATAGGGCCTCCTGCTGCCGCTGTGCCGCTGCCATGCAATTTCTGTTCTCATCCTGAAGCAAAGTTCTTAACCCAAGGCACTATTTCTGGTTTAGCGGAGTCTGTAACCTGAAGCGTCTGTAACCTGAAGCGTATGTAACCTGAGGTACCACTGTAGCTCAGTGGTAGAGCAATTGCCTTGCATGCAGAAAGTTTCAGGTTCAATCCCTGACAGCCCCAAGTAGGTCTGGGAATGTCATAGAATTGTAGGATTGTAGAGTCGGAAGGGACCCTGACGGTTATCTAGTACAGCTCCCTGCAATGCAGGAATCTCAACTGGAGCATCTATGACAGATGGCCATCCAAACCTCTGCTTAAAAACCTCCCACCTGAAACTTTGGAGAGGTGCTGCCAAACCACCATAGACACATTGCGCATGACCCAGGGAGGCCACTTAAATTCAGCACCCGCATGTTGAGCTCTTGCTGTCTCTCCCCTGTCCCCTTTAGGATCACTTATGCAGGGATGGGGAACCTGCATCCCTGCAGATGTTGATGGGCTACAGCTCCCATCATTCCAGAACACTGGCCTTTCCGGGTGAGGCAGATGGGAGTTGGAAGTCCCAACAGCTTCTGGAGGGGCGCAAGCCAAGTTTTGACAGCCATTGATGTGCAGCATAGGAAGCCATCCTGAACATTACAGGACCAGGGTGTGTGTGTGTGTCACCTGAATGTGGAGGTAATTGTCTTTGCCATAGTACCCCTATATGGCGGTAATATGGGGTTCTAGCGTAAGGAAGCACAGTGTTCTGTTTCATAGATGAGGAAAAAAACATGCTTGTTCATATATATATAGAGAGAGAGAGATTTGATTTTCTGCTATCAATTTTTAAAAGAAATGAGTAGCAAATTGAGTAAAGCTTCTTTCCCAAACATTTCTCTTTTTACAAAAAAAGAGAGAGAGAAAATAAATAAATAAATCTAAGTGCCTTTCAGCGAATCCTCAAGAGAACTGTGCTATTTTTGAGCAGGATCCATTTCAGCATGACATTAGCCTGGCAACTGGGCTGTAAATATTTTATACTGAGTGGCACTCCCACCTCCCCTTCTTTACCGCACAGAAGAGCACGATCAAAGGGGCTAGAGAAGACAGCTTCCAACCAGACAGCTAGTGGTCACCTTTGCTTGCTTGCGAACGTGTGTTTGGTGTTTTTTTTGAGGGACATTGGAGACCAGATGCCAAAGCCACTTACCCAACGCACGTTACAGCAAAACGTCTTGTTGGAACAATGTAAAATAACAACCGAGGTCTTGAAACCGTTTGTTTTCGTGGCCCAAGCTCTAGGATATATGGGAGATTGCCAAGTTCTGACAAAACTGCAGACCTGCACCACCAGTCTCCTGTTTGTCAGACGCAACTAAAATCCTCTCCACTTCTGTAGCCTCCACGAATGCAGCCGTTTGCCCCAGTCAGAAGCACCATATGTGCTGCGGTGCTCACATGGAGCTCCTCCACAAACAAGGTTCCCCATATACAGTGGTACCTCGGGTTACATACGCTTCAGGTTACAGACACTTCAGGTTACAGACTCCACTAACCCAGAAATAGTGCTTCAGGTTAAGAACTTTGCATCAGGATGAGAACAGAAATTGTGCTCCAGCGGTGCGGCAGGAGGCCCCATTAGCTAAAGTGGTGCTTCAGGTTATGAACAGTTTCAGGTTAAGTACGGACCTCCGGAACGAATTAAATACTTAACCTGAGGTACCACTGTATTTTGATTTTGTGTGTGTGCGCATTCCTTAGTACACAGTTGCTCCTTTTCCAGACAAGGACATCTGTAAGGCCAGAGGAGCTGCATCAGGCCACTGGGCCATCTGGTTAGCCACACTGGTCTCGCAGTGGCCAAGCACATGCTTGTGGAAAGCCCGCAAGCAGAGCCCTAGTATCACTCTCTTCCCATTTGTGATTCCTAGTAACTTGTATTAAGAGTCCTACTACCTCTGGCAGCGGAGGTAGAACATAGCCATCGATAACTGCCTCCTCAGTAAAATTGTTTTATCATCTTTATTTAAAAGCCATCCGAGTCGCTGGCCATTACTGACTCCTGTCGGATTGAATTCCATAGTTTAATTATGTTTCATGCGCAGAATGTATAATGCATACACCTGCAAGGGAGAGCTGGATTGAAGCAACGATGTCTTTAAAACATTATTTGAGCAATTACTGAAAATTAGCTACAGTGGTACCTCAGGTTAAGCACTTAATTCGTTCCGGAGGTCCGTTCTTAACCTGAAACTGTTCTTAACCTGAAGCACCACTTTAGCTAATGGGGCCTCCTGCTACCGCCGTGCCGCCGAAGCCAGATTTCTGTTCTTATCCTGAAGCAAAGTTCTTAACCTGAAGCACTATTTCTGGGTTAGTGGAGTGTGTAACCCGAGGTACCACTGTACATGGTTCAGGACACTGTGCACTATTCCCAGGGTTTTCAAGCCTATGGTGGTTCTTGGGGCAGTTTCCTTGATGTAGAAGAATTGGTTCGCATTAGTGCAAGCCCATTTTGATATCCCAAACAGGATATTTAAGTGCTAAGTTTCTGAAGGATCTATTTATTTGTTTATTCCATAAAATTAATGTAGCGCTTTTTAAGCACCAAGCTTCTGAGGGAGTTATTTGTTTCTTTTGTTTATTTCATAAAATTTACACACCGCTTGATTTTTAAAAGAACCCTCAAAGCGGTTTACATAAAGATTTTAAAAAATCAAGAAAAAAAACACAACCGCACTTTCAACCGTATGATAGTTAAAATACTAAAACAGATTTAAATTGCCTCAACTTTCTAAGCATCTGGACAGGCTTGTCTTAAAAAGATTAGGGGGAAAGAGACCTGAAATTTGTTTACATGAGGCCTTCATCCTCTCTTTCTTCAGACTTATCTCCCTAGAGCTTTTAGGATATCATGAGCCATAAATCCAAACAAACAACTTTTAAGCTATGCGGATCTGAAAACCTAAAGGGTAAATAAATGAGAACCAAATATGCATTTCCTTGTTAGAATTAGAAGCTCTAACACCATTCTGAGGCAGAGAGTCAAAATATTTCCTCTTGATTCCCCCACCGCTGCTCTCCTTAATTGCTGGTCGGAGGGTGAAGGCCAGGAAATTTAGGCAATTTTCAGTCTGCCAGACAAGCAACTGTTATTATGGTAATTAATTGACTAATTCGACACACAAACAAGGGGTTTTTAAACCAAGAACAGAGGATGCTATGTGACCCAGATCAGCTTTCACTCCACTCACTGACAGAATTTAAATTCTGTGCCACTGAGATGGATGTTCTCTTCTGTCTGGTAGCGTAGCAATGGAATGACAAGTTGTGAAGCTTCTGTCTTAACAAATTCTGCGCACACACACCTTTAGAAAAGAGTTGCATATTCATCCAGTCATTCCACACACACCCCTTACATAATCCTAGTTTGCCTTTGTTTGAATGCAAATGTCTTCAAATCATTTCCAGAAGTTTATTTTCTTAACAGAATTTTTTAAATATATAGCTTATTTCAGCCTTTTACCTAAAGACAAGGAGATACAGCTTTGCACGAACATTTGCGTGTAAATGTGAAGGCCTGTACAAAAAGAATTCCTGATTGAGACATATAGATTCCAATAGTGAATAAGCCAATTTCAAACATATTACAGTCGTACCTCGGTTGTCGAACGCCTTGCTACTCGTACTTTTCGGCTCCCGAATGATCGAAACCCGGAAGTGAGTGTTCCGGTTCCCAAACTTTTTTTGGAAGCCAAACATCCGACGGGGACGTTCCACGGCTTCTGATTGGCTGCAGCAGCTTCCTGCAGCCTATCAGAAGCCGCGCTTTGGTTTCCGAACGTTTTGGAAGTCGGATGGACTTCTGGAACAGATTCCGTTCAACTTCCAAGGTACGATTGTAGTTTGTTTTTGAAAATGGGCTGCAGCACATGTACAAGGGCATGTGTCTTGCATCCAGAAGGTCCCAGGTCATTTCTTCTCCCTGAGATGCCCAGAGAGCAGGCTGCCTTCCCCAACCTGTTGTCCTCCAGATGTTCTAGACACATTACTCCTCTAATCACTAGCCAGCGTATCCAGGGGGCGATGGGACCTATAGCACAAAATATGTGGTGGACACCCTTGGCTGTAAGGGAAAGCTCTGGTTTGTTTATTTATTTAATTACATGCATATTCCAGCTTTCATCCAAGGAGTTCCAAGTGGCTTTCATGGTTCTTCTTCTCCCCCATTTCTTCCTCACAACAACGTTGTAAGTAATAGTGCCACTGTATTCTGCTCTGGTCAGACCTCACCTGGAGTACTGTGTCCAGTTCTGGGCACCACAGTTCAAGAAGGACACTGACAAACTGGAACAGTGTCCAGAGGAGGGCAACCAAAATGGTCAAAGGCCTGGAAACGATGCCTTATGAGGAACGGCTAAGGGAGCTGGGCATGTTTAGCCTGGAGAAGAGGAGGTTAAGGGGTGATATGATAGCCATGTTCAAATATAGAAAAGGATGTCACATAGAGGAGGGAGAAAGGTTGTTTTCTGCTGCTCCAGAGAAGCGGACACGGAGCAATGGATCCAAACTACAAGAAAGAAGATTCCACCTAAACATTAGGAAGAACTTCCTGACAGTAAGAGCTGTTTGACAGTGGAATTTGCTGCCAAGGAGTGTGGTGGAGTCTCCTTCTTTGGAGGTCTTTAAGCAGAGGCTTGACAACCATATGTCAGGAGTGCTCTGCTGGTGTTTCCTGCTTGGCAGGGGGTTGGACTCGATGGCCCTTGTGGTCTCTTCCAACTCTATGATTCTATGATTCTAGGTAAGTTGGGCTGAGAGTGAGGGACTGGCCCAAGGTCACCCAGAGAGCTTCATAGCTGAGTGGGGATTAGAATTCTGGTCTCCCAGGTTCTAGCCTGAAATGCTTAACCACTACACCACAGTGGCTCACCACACTGGTTCCTTCCCTCTCCTGGGTTCCTAAGATTTCACCAGTTATTGCCCTGTATACTTTGAAGCCCACGTCTCTTGCAACTGGAGCGATGAGTAACGGCCGAAATGAAGCATTTAAAAAGTCACGGTCGCTTTACATGCCCATTTCCCTTTGAAATAAGCAGGATTTGCACTGGAATCCTATGCATGTTTACTCAGAAATAAGTACTGCTAGTTCCATGGGGCTTCCTCCCAGGAAAACCGAGCTTTGGATTGCAACCTTCAAATTGAC